GTTGCCTCCGCTGCTCTGCTCTAGGGTGCCAGCTTCATCCTAACACTGTCTACATCTGTAGTCTCAAAATAGCTGCCAACAGTTTCTAGGATCAAGCCATTCCTTATTCACATCCTACAGACGATGGTTAGTTAGTTTGGTCCCAGAAGTCCCAACAGAAACCTCAGTAGTTTATTTTCTTGCTTAAAGCATAAGCCAACACCTAAACTGATCACTTCGGGAAAGGAGGGAGGGGACAGTGATGGGATGTGAGGATTGGCTTAGGAAACAGTGCTCCATGGTGATAGAGCACTTACGGGCACAATTGGGTTGCGATGTGGTACACTTTTCATTCCAGTTCTCCTTTCCTGGGAATGCAGACAACTGTTCAGAGGGGAAACTGAAGTGCAGTCACTGAGTTGGATGGGGGACGAAAGCCTGTCATAAAAGGGGTCAGGGGTCAGGGCACACACCAGCCCAAAGTCTCCTTTGTTTCTCTCCATAGAGAAATCCTGCCGAGGTATTCTGTGCACCACAGAGGGGCTGGAGGCCTGTTTTGTAAATAAAAGGAAAAGAGAGTCATTTCTGAAATATTACTCAGAAATGAACATCTTTCTTTTAGAAGCACTTTGGCCTCTCGGACTATCAAAAATCACTCTTGAAGTGCTTCTTTTGTTCTTGACAGGCTTGAATCTTAGCCTCGTAATGAAGTGTCAAAATAAAACGGCCAAGAAAAGTAATGACTGCAATTTTGCCAATGGTTTCTGTGCTCTTTTGTATGAGTCACTGCTCCTTAGTAAAGCAGAATGAAGGGAGAAGCATGGCTAGAAATTAATAGAGGATTCTGGTATTAACCAAATCTCCCCTGCCCACCCTCACCCTAACCCTTTAATATACCCTCCAGGACATTGGCACACCATGGTGAAAACATTAGGTAACGACTATGTAAGTAAATACAGTTCCATGTAAGTAAATGCAATTCTATGTAACAACTGGAGTTGAGGGGATGCACCTGTTTATCTAAAAAATTCTTCAGAATACGAGGTGAGCAAAAGTAGGTTTGTAGTTGTAATACAAATAAATAATACAATAATTAATAATACAAGAATAAACTCTGTGTTTTGTGGACTCACAACAGTAAGCCTACTTTTGCCCACCGCGTACCTTGAATTTGCAACATTCCATGAAATCCATAGGGATCTGGGTTGGTTCACTCCTCAAAAGTGATCAGCTATTTCTAAGTATAAAAGGAAGAGCTACTTACAGTACTTCTAAAATACAAGACTGTGCGAAGATATTTTAGTATGGCACAATCATTAAAATTATATTATCTTTAAAATAAGCATTTAGAAACAACTGTGCTCAGAGTTGCCTTGCTACTATTAGCATACAGGTCCATTACATTCCTTTGAGTACTTCATGTTCTGTCTCCCTCTAAGTTTGATACCACTGCCTGCTGGAAAGGTGTGCTTTCTTCTATGCTATTTATTGATTATTCCCTTTTGGCCATAAGGCCCCTTCCTCCAAACCCCTTGGCAATTACAATGTACATGATCCTCTGGCCTTTCTCACGTGCCATCTTAAACTGTTAAGCAGGCCTTGTTTTTCATGTTGCTGTGACACATCTCTCCAACTACATTATCAGCAATTCAGGAATGTTATGTGTCTTTGAATCTTCCTGGTATTTAATAAAGTGACTTGAATTAGACATTAGATTATAAGCTCTTTCAGGGAAGAGACTTTCATCTCTTATTTTGTTTTCCAAGATAACTTGTAAAGCCCTACCCTGACATACAGTATACACTCAATAAATATTTACTTAATGAAATCATAATCATATTAATACTAGGTGCTCAAGAGGTATTTGTTAGGTTGAATAATACTATTACCAACCCACTATCTGCTGGACCTATGTTTGGATTAATTCTCCAACAGCTGTATGATTTTCATCAATAATTCAAGACAAGTGCCCTAGGATGCATGTGGGAGTCACACACGGACAAAAAGGTGGAAGTCGGTTTCTAGTTCCAAGGAACCCAGGCTTCATTTCCATTTCTCAAGTACTGCAATCTTGCTCTTACATGCCCTCTTCCTAACCAAGCCTGCCTTTGTAAGTGAGTTAATCTTGCAAACAATCAGGGTGATTGTTTCATACTAAAATTCAACCCCTATCAATTAGCATAATGACACATCCTCTTGCAAGGAAAATCAAGGCTGTTGGCTTTGGTGTAGATTCCAGGGGTTGCATCTAGCAAGCACATCCCTTTCTGCTAAGATCATCAACTGTCAGAGACACTCACACAACACTAGAAATCCCTGCCCTATTTCTCCATTTAAACTCATTGTTTTAGAGGACAATGTACTTTAGAGGCACTGTACTGCTACTCTTCATTCTGCATGCTACCACTACTGAAGAAGTCTGGGAGTTCATGCTGCTTTCCTGTTTTTCTTCAAAACCACCGTTCTTCTCCAGCAGTAGAATTACGAGGAAGCGTTCCCTTGCTGCGTGTGCCCAGGACTTTCCCAGCTCCAGGGAAATACCCAACAAGGGGTTCTTCCTCCAAATGTATTTTCAGAACTCCCACTATTTGGAGGAGGAATGACAGTTCAGCCATTCTGTTTTTAGTTGGCATTTGATGGCAACACTCAGTATTCATGTAGTAAATTCTGCAAAATCTTCTGTGTTCACTTGTGAGAGGGGTTCTCATGCTGCCTTAGTGGCCTAAACTCCAAGGGTGACAGCTACAAGGCCATGGGGCTCTGTTCAGGATGGACTTTGATTGTCAGCGACTTTATACGCAGCTCTCTCTGACTCTGACTCACTGATTATTTGGTACGTGAGAAAATAAATTGGCTCCTGGTACCCAAACTAGGAATGGGCATAATTTTCTAGGGATTATACTAAGGGCTTGTGGGATTAAGTTTTTAGTGTAAAAATGTATACATTTTCTGTATAAATGAGATACTATTAATTGAGCTGAAATGTCATGGTTCTCTCTATTGTATCTGTTACTCTCAAAACCAACCAAATGTCTATCAGCCTCAGAAGATACCATAGTTAATGTCATAACAGCTCCTCTTACAAACAATAGTCATCACTTGACCACAGGCCCATACTACATGCTTTACTGCCAAGCATTTCAGACCTTAGTTGAAGATATTTCTAAGTCAATTTCAAAGATGATTCTAATAAACTCTTTAGTTGCAGTAAAGAAACCTGAAAAAAGTAGTATCTATTCTTTTTAGAAGAGCTACGCTACAACACTGGTACTTAATAAGTGACAAAAACAATATATGTGTTCTTGGTTTAAGAATTGCCTATCTAAGGTAAAAATAACGTCAGAGGCAGATTTTGAGGGGTTTTGCTATTACTGCTGTTCCTGTTTGTTACACTCAATTACAATGTTCAACTCTGAAGTTTTTTGATGGCTATGACAGCATGCTTTCAGCTCTAGACAATAAAACATTCAATTCAAACTGCCTTAAAAATAATGAACACTTATTATAGATAATAAATACACTCAATTATTATAAAATAAAAACATTTATTATCTAACATAACAGGAAGTAGATGAGTGACAAAACCAATGACTCAGTGCCTTCCATATGTCTGTTCTGCCCTCCACACAGTCTACACCATCATAAGGTCTGTTCCACTTGAATTTGCTGTTAGTAAAAACTAGGGCTGCATGCTTTCTTGTTTGCATCTAGTGGGAAAGAAAAAAGGGGCTCCTCTCCTAGTCATGGAAGAAAAGTTTCTCCTTTCAGTTTGATTGGCCAGTTTAGGTCAACTACTTACACCAAACAGTGTCTCCAGGGAAACACTAGGCAACAATTTGCTTACCCTTAGGTTCCTATAATAACTTCTAAAAAAGGAAGACAGAATTATCCTAGCTGGCTAAGACTAACTAAAACCATTCTGGGGGGGGGAGTTGTTTAAAAAGCATATTGATACCATAAAACATAAAACAAAGGAGGGGTAGAAGGAATGCATGCTGTGGAGGAAGTCATGATTGCAAATATGGACTGACATTGCTATTCAAACAAGAAAAACAACTAATTTCTTACACTAAGAAACTACAGTTTTTTGATGTAAGATTTAAAAAAAAATTTATTGATTGATTTTAGAGAAAGAGAAGAAGTGAGGGACCAGCAGAGGGAAAAAGGGAGAGAAGATGAACAAGAAACAGAGAGAGTGAGAGAGAGAACCAATATAAGATTTTTAAAGGATTTTCACATCCACTGAGTGAGATTTTGTTATGGACAGGTATCCATAATTCTCTAACTGAGTCAGCACCATTGAAGAAACGGGACTTATTTAATGTTGAATGTAAGTTTTTGTGAAGTCAGGTACCACGTCCACTTTCCTCACGTCTCTGTCCCTGAGGCTTAGCAGAGGGCCTAGTACGGGCAAGATGTTCAAACGAGTTTCTGCTTGACTAAAAATAAGCCTCAACTATCTTTCATTAAATGATGAACACCTGCCCTAGAGTAGGGCATCACACTGAAGGAAAGTCCTCGGGTGCCAGATTAATTTAACTACAAAGGGTCTATCAAAGTCAAGTCTTTATAGAATCAAACTAACCCAATAAACACAAAACCATTTAGTAAGCTGCTGCTATGCTCCAAGCTAAAGACATTCTGTAATCCCAACAAATGTCCGTGGTAAGGTTGTAGTTCAAAATATATATATACACCTCTATCTTAATTTGTTAAAAAGGTAAACCTCAAATGACTTTGAACTATCCATATGTGAAAGCTGAGCATTGGAAACGTAAACCGTGCTTTCATGTGGCAGCTGGAACTGTAATATTTTGTTCCCAGGAGGTCTCCTATCAGAAGCCACTTTAGATATTCTCACAGAGACATTGCACAATACGACTGGCTAACCAAACAAAACATGGTCTCCTGACTTTCCCTGCAGTTTGATAATAAAGAAAAGAAGGCCAAAGCTCTCCCCCTCTGAGCCATCATCTTTCTGCAGACTTTGCGGATAAATGTGGCCCAGCTGTCTCACTGACCTTCCAGGACATTGGTACTTCCCGCTTCCAAATGCCATGAAGTAGTCCAAGAAAGCATGCTTCTCTAAATTTGCCTCTTTCCAACGTTCCTGTGGGAAGAAAACATTTTTTATTTTTTCCAAATCAGCCTTATATAAATAAGCTTAACTTTATTTCTCTAGGCTAAAAATGACCTTGTACAGCTAATCCTCGCATATAAAGTTGCAGGGTTGTTGGTAATTTTTTCCAACCTGTTATTAATATCAGCCACAATTAGGATTCTGGAACATAGCTAATAAATAAAAAGGCTTAAAAAGAATTCTGTTAAATGGTAAGTGTAAGTGATGATGTAAATCGACCACAGAATTGACCTCAGGGAAGAAGAATATTTACAATAGAGCCTCAGGCTCCATCATAACCCTGCCCTTGGTGATAAATTTAGTAATAAGACGCTGACAGCCCTGCCGTTGGGGAAAGCCTGTGATTCAGAATGAATACATCTGGATGCCATTTTTGACAGTTTTACCTAAAGGCAGAGAATAGGCCAAATGACCTCTTCAGATTCTGTTCAGCCCTGTCACCCCCCAATTCTAGGAAACAGCAGAACACCGTTTTAATTTGCTTCAGTTTTATTTTTTGTACTCCCTGGAAACCAGTAACAGGAACAATTGCCTGAAGAACATAAAATAAGTCTTCTATCAGGACCAGGCATATTTACTTTAACATGCCCTGCTGGTTTCAGATAAAAATTTATTTTAAAGTTGGTGAAGCTTATTCCAGGAACCTTTGCATCTGATTTGTTGTACATGTTATACCACATATGTTGCATATCTAATCTGTATTTTGTAGCCTTGGTTGCTAGAGAAATATGGCTGCTTAAAGGCACAGTCCTACTTAACTTATGAATTCATATTTCTGGCATAAAATATTAAAATCAAAGGACAATGTATATCGAAAGAAGTAACTTACGGGTTTGAACAATTCAGGTTCAGGAAAATACTTTGGATTTCTATGCAGCCAAAATGGAGACAACATCAACAAGTCACCAGAAGGAATAGTGTAATTCTATGACAGAAAAATTGGTTCCAAGTCATTTTTTGAAATATGCTTTAAAGAGAGTTTGGGTCGTTAAAAATAATACTAGAACTATATTGTGGCAAAGGCACATACATTTTATAATCAATGGTGATAAAATATAACTCTTTCCTGGGTGGTGAGTTCTATTTTCCAACTTAGGCAATGACTGATTTCTAATTCAGATGATCAGTTACATGCACATATATATTTAGTTACAGGGGGGAAAATATCAGATAAATGTGAAAATTTTAGAAACTAGTGTAAGTTCACTCTAATGCAGTCTTTGCTGTTCAATACTGAGGTTTGCAGTAAGTGTTCTTGATGATAGAAACCACAGTAAATCTCCAGATCCTGGCACAGAAGAATCTAACTCTGAGACAGGATACTGGTTGCAGCACTGAGGACAGGAACAGCAGGTGTCCTGCCCCTGGGGACACTCATAAGAATGTCAGGGCAGGGTCAGTGGATTCTTTGTTTGTTTGTTTTTTCACTCTAGCAGCAGCTGTTAGGACAGAAAGAATATGAAGACAACTGGTTAGGAAGACACAGAACGAAGCAAGTGTTGTACATTTATTTAGTTGGTTTTGTATTTGAGGCTGCGGTGGTTATGGGGCTGAGGATAAACAGTGTGATTCCTCAAACAGCAAGTCAGCATGATCATTTTCTATTCATGTTAAAATAGGGCTTCATGATACATAAACTATATACTAAGACCTAAAATCCATTGCATAAAATCACCCTTTTTATCACCATGCTCAGGAACCATCTCTCCCAGAGTGTGTGATCGCTAGGTAGCCACCAACTTTACGGAGCAAAGCCATTTTATTGGCAGGTCCCATAGCCAACCATCAGAAGCCACGTCTATTTAACCTCACATAATTTTCAAATGTCCTCAGGATATTTGCAAAACACCAGGTTTATGTATCTAGAATTAGCACCTTACAATTAAAAACATCTCTTTTTATGGTAGCAGGAATAGGGTATGAGGAGGGGTCATCATTTTTTCACCCAGGGGAACCCCTGTTGGCTCCAGTGGGAGCTGAGTATCACTTGAGTTGGTCAATTACAGCGTCAGGACAGCTGGAGAGTCAGATCCAAACCTGAGAAGAGGGCGAGGCATGCTGGTGCCCTCTTACCCATTTCTAAAGTTGAAAGAGCCCTGTGAGATCCCAATCTTGTGCGTTCCTTCTCCTCCTGCTGGAACAGACTCTAGAGAAGTCATGACTGATTCTGATCAAGAATTGGCCAGGGAGGGCCTGATGTGTGTGGCGCAGGGCTGGAGGCAGCCTGCCCTTCCCTTCCCCGCTCCACAGTCCTCTTCAGTGGCAGTGGACCTATGATTATGGCTTGGGGGCTGCTGGCGGCTGCAGCCCACAAAGCGAGCTAGTAGAGAAAGACTCCAAACAGGACCTCAATAACACATTAACATTAGCAACAGGGAGGAGACCAGAAAGACATGCCTGTTGCAGCAGCAGACGCCAGGCTGACAAATGGCATAAAGGATGTGAGAGCTGGTTACATTCACTGGAACCCTCTGAGCGAACAGATGTCATCATGCCTAGTCTAAGCATCGCTGTCACTGTTTACACGATAGATGAAGAGAAAGATCAAGAGGGAGACAAAACAGTCATAAGACTGCAACACAGACCACGAGCAAGGAAAAGACACAACTTGTTGCCATTACTGCATCCCTCAGGTAGACAGAATTGACCCTAGCCAGCCCACCACAGAGAGATGCTGTGAGGTCAGTGAGCTTCCTCTGCTTGCGTGGAGATGGGGCTTTCTTAAAGAGGAAAGAGAAGGACGGACTCTCTGCTATAACTTTTGAGAGAAAAGTGGGTACAAGAAATACAGGATATTGAAGTGAAAGGAGGAGTCCTATAAAGGCAAAAAGTATCTACAGGAAAAGGTCCAAAGCACACCGTTATTTTCCTAGCTCTTGGCCAGAAGGTTGGTTGCTGTTAGAGGCTTTAAAAAAAATTAGGTACTTTTAAAAGTTAAAGACTATTTTTTCTTTGTATTGTAGAGTCATTGTGAAAAATTTTCTCTCCAATGGCTGTTTAATCTTTCATTGAGTAGATTAAACTATAATTAATCTAATCATTTTCTACTGTTTTTTCCTATTATAAATGCTATCACTAGAGTCTTCTTTCTTGAAGCATTTTTCATATAAAATCTTTTAACACAGATGTTCAGAAGACACAGGACATGAATATTTTTAAGGCTATTAATATCCATTGTTTAACTGTTTCCTCAAATATTGTAGCAAAATGTTTCTACCTATAATATGAGCATGCCAATTTCATTGCCCTCTTATCTGCTAATCTGACATCTTTAATGGGCTATTTTAATTGCTACTTAAAATCTGGTGAGCAGTTATGTTATTTTCTTCTATAAACTCTTGTGCTCATGTCCCATCCACATTAACGTAACCTTAGTGCTTTACTTACTGATCTGTGAATTTTTTAAATATTAACATTACTTCTCCTTGTGCTACACACATAATGACACTTATTTTTAAATTTTGGTTTACATTTAATTTGGGCCATACTTTATAAAATAAGATGTTAATTTTTGATATCGTACATTCAAATCTGTCCATCTGCTTTGTGGTTTCACTGATTAATCCCTAAACTTAGGTAGCCCTCTTTTCTCTACAATAGTAGCTCTCAAAGGTGGTTTCGGGATTTCTAGGAGTTCCCAAGACCTTTTCATAGGGTCTGACAGGTCAAACATCACTCCTAAGTAAAATACTCATTCAAAGTATAGGAGAGACCAATGGGTTTTAATATAAATTAGTACAAAAATTCACTGACATATTTTCAGACTGCAATGAACTTTTAGAAAAGTATCACTGTTGAGTTTCAGTGTAGTATCAAAGAATAGCCACAAATATCTGAAAAGGCTACTTACTAAAATACTCTCCCTTTTTGGCTACCTGTCAATATGAGGCTGGATTTTCTTCATTTTCATCAATGAAAACATTATATTTCAATAGGTTGATTGCAGGCACACATATATAGGAATTTAGGTATCTTCTATTAGCAAGGCTAATGCAAAAACCTAAAAATGGTACTATTTTTCTACCACTTTTTGTTTTAAAAAATGTTTCTTAAAATCATGCTCTTAACATGTAACAGGTTTCTTGTTCTTTTTAAATGAATTACTAAATAAACACTTTAACTATTTCTCAGCTTTGGTTTTTAATACAGTAAATATGAATAGATAGGACTCACACAGGTGAAAGCCCTTTGGGATATTCAATAATCTTAAAAAGTAGAAAGGAATCCTGACATCAAAAGTTTGAGAATTACTACATTTTTAAAAAGTACCCACTTTCAGCTAATCTTCCCAAGCCATATATTAATATCTTCCCTCTAATTAATTAATTTATGATTCATTTATTGTATATTAAATTTTTATATAGAATTTTTTTAAGGGATTTTGTTTCTTATCTATCCAACCTGTTCTATCTGAGCAACTGGTCTGACGCCAGTATCACTTTAATTTTATAGTTTTATAACATGTTTTAATACTTTGAGAAGATAACTACTATTACTTAATTATTCCTATTTTCCAACACTTCCTTGTTTGTTCTTTTCTGGGTATTTTTGCAGATTAACTTTGTACTAAAAATATCAAATGTTGAAGGCAGAGTGCAGGTAGAAGTTTAAGAGTTTCTAAGAGATGGCATAAAAAAGAGAAAGAAAAATGAAGTAAATAAAAGAAAACAGGTAGATTTATTCATTTGAACTTATTCCAAAAAATATAGAAAAGGATACAGAAGCAAAAATAAACAATGACCCCCTTTTCAGATTACACCAGGGAAGAGCAGTGGGAGAACACTTCTAGCACTCGCAGCGAGAAGCCTTAACAGTTGGCAACAGAAAACATGAGTGGGTCCCTGCCACTTCTTAACATAGGTGATCCCATGGGAAATGTTTTCTATAATCCAAATCTCTAGGAACACGTTAGTGTATTCAGCAAAGACATCCCACCAAAATGTATTTGGAAAGTTCATAAAGCTTAAAATTACCAAGTTATATGAATTTATAATACGAAAACAGTAGCATACACAAGGATGTTCATCTTTGTGCTGTTTATAACAGTGAAAAAAATGGAAGCCATATCCATCAGGAATAGGAAACTGATTAAATAATTTATACTCTGTCCATATGTCAGATTATTTATGCTGCAGTTCAAATGGTGTGGATGTTCTTCATTGATATAGAAAATTATTTCTTAAAAACAAAAACAAAGTAGGAACAGAATCATAGGAAAGGGGGTCATTTGGAGGGTTATCAGCTGGGAAGGGGGAAAGAGTGCAAAATAGCCATGGGGATGTTAAGAGCAGTATAGGAAAGGGAGAAGCCAAAGAACTTACACGTGTGACCCATGGACATGAACTAAGGGGGGGTGGGGATTGCTCGAAGGAAGGGAGATGCAGGGACCAGGAGGATAAAAGGGAAAGAAAATGGGACAACCGTAACAGCATTATCAATAATGTATACTCAAAATTAAAAAAATAAAATTTCACCATCAAAAAAAGAAAAGTATTTGCAATCTATTATTAAGTAAAATAAAAGCAGATTATTAAAAAATTAGCATAGTATGATCAAAATTGAGTCTTTAAAATGCACACACTATAGGAAAAAAAATCTGAAATTATACTAATACCAAAGTGTTCACAGTAGTTAGCTCTAACATGAAATTTTAAGCAATTTTTAATTTCTTCTTTCAGCTTTTTTATGGTCTCTTTTTTTCACATTACCACCTACTACTTATGTAATAAGAAGAAAACTCTGTGTAAGCTATTATTTTTAAAGTTAAAGTCTCATCTCCACAGGGAGAAATTCACAGTGATTGAGTCTGGCCTCCGATGAGGAAAAGCTGCATTTATAAATGGAACATTGAGTACAGGAAACACCGCGCCTTTTACAAATAGGAAAAAGATATTGTGAAAACTAATAACAGAGAAGTGTTGGAACAATCTTGGCAGATGGCAGCCTGAGCACAGGCCACTAAGTGTGGCCATCACCAGCTGCTGGGCCTGGTAGGAAATGACGAGAATGAGCCTCACGTCCTCCAGGGAGGAAGTGTGAGTGAGTATTAGGAAGTAGAGATATGAGACTATTAATTTTTTAAAATAATTTCTTGGCTCAGTTTGGATATCCATTATTTCTAATTTAAAAATTTTTATTGGGATCCCATAGATGTTGGACTTTGTAAGAAAATTGTATGTTGTGAATCATAAATGTGTTTATACTCTTGGACTAGTAATCCACCAGTAAAACATAATTCAAGGAATCATTAAGAAAAGAAAATGTACTCTGCACAAAGATGCAAGTAATTACCACATTAAAATAACCACAAAGGAAAACAAACTAAATTCTCAAGAGCCAGAAAATAATTAAATACTTAAGCTATTAACTCAATGGACTCTTATGTGGCAATTGAAATAAATATGAAAACTCTCTAGCTGCATGAAAAGTGAAAAATAATGTTAAAAACTTTTTAAAATGACATTTACACTCTGATGAGACATATATTTCTGTTTTGATGTCATACATAAAGAATGTTGGGTAGTTTTTATAGTACAGTTTGGGGTGGAGGGGGTTGTGTATGCATGAGTGTGTATGTGCATGTGTTTGACCATGGGTGTTTCTTTTGGTAAAGCTTTTGAAATAAGTAAGATTAATTTTGAAAAATGATGTAATGTTAACAGCCCCAACAATCCTGACAAGGAACTGAGGCTAAAAGCTCAGTCAAGAGCTATCTGCTTAAAGATAGTAAGGGGTTTCAACGGGGAAGGGGTGGCGGAATATAGAATGATTGTATCTGTACCAACCATCAGACGAGTGAGTTCCGGTCAAGAGACAAGAGATTTTATGTTGAGAAATAAATACATTTGTGCCAGCACCTTATGGTAAAATAAAAATATAAGAAAGGAGGAAATCAAGTGAGTCATCTTCAAGGATCCTAAAATGAAAAAAGCAGGAAATGAACATCTATCCAGTGGAAAACGCCTACGGCCAGAAGGGAACAAAGGGGCACAAAGACAGGCGTCAGCTGCTTGCACAGTAAAAGCTAAAGGAAAAGAAAGAGGATAAGAGCCATAAGGACAAAGTAGTGTTTATGTGAAGGAGGAAGTCTTGGAGTATAAGTAATCAAATAATGATAAATGAACGGCATAAGAATATCGAAGTAAGGATAGCAGGAGCCAGAAGGAACACCATTTCAGAAGAAGCGCATCATATTGGTTGGAAAGTGGTGTGTGCCTAAAAGTATTTAGTTTGTGTCTGAGAAGAAAATATATTTATATAAATTAAAAATTTCATATTATAAAGTTTTCCTGTGATGATCTCAGGTATTTAGCTAATGAAATAGCACAGCTAGGTCTCAGAAGAGGGGTGCAGAGCTGTCTTACCTATATGTGGCAGGCAGAGCAACCAGTTAAAGAAGCACAAGATGGAATGTGTTAAAGAAGCACAAGATGGGCCACACTGAAACTTGTGAGAGAGGAGAAATCCAAAGGCAACAGGAAAACACAATTTATAAGAATTTAGATTTGAGAATCCTTATGGTTTTTTCCTTCTTGATTTGGTAATGGGCATGGTTAGTAGAGATAAAATAGGAACTTCAAAGGAGAGCAATTACAGATAAAACTTTAAAAAACCTGGAAAATGAGTCCAGAAAGAAGAAAAGAAAGAAAAAGAAAAGAATTAAGGAGGAAAAGAAGGGAATTATATTGCTGACCTTTTCTTTACTGTCTTTCATAAGGCAATATATGTGGTAGGAAGTAAGAAAGGGAAGAAGGAAGAAGAGAAATGAGAGAAGGAAGGAGGGTGGAGGAAAGAAAGGACCTGAGTATTACGAGAAGGGGGCAGGACAAGCATAAAACACCTTTTAAGAGCCTGTCATGGTATAGAAACCAGGCAGAAAGGTTACACAGTGAAAAGTAAAGAACACTACAGATGACTATCTCGCATGAACTTAGATACAAAAATCCTCAAGAAAATATTAGCAAAATGAATCTAACAATGTATTAAAAAATTATATACCATAATCAAATGAGATTTATTCCAGGTATGAAAGGACAGTTCAATACTTAAAAATCAGTAAATTTAATCCACCACATCAACAGGTTAAAGAAGAAAAAGCATGTGATTACATCACTAGACAAAAATCTAATACCCATTCAGCATAAAAAACCTTAGCAAATTAGAAATAGAGCAAAATCTAATACCCATTCAGGATAAAAACCTTAGCAAATTAGAAATACCCATTCAAGATAAAAAACCTTAGCAAATTAGAAATAGAAAATCCTCAACTTGATAAGGAGCATCTATCAAAAAACCTACAGCCAACATTATATTATACAGTGAAAGACTAAATATTTTCCTATTAAGATCAGGAACAAGGCAAGAATATCTGCTGCTGCCACTATTATTTGCCACAGTGCTAGAAGTTAGAGCCACTGCAATAAGGCAAGAAGAAGGAATAAAAGGCATACAGATAGGAAAGGGAGAAATTAAAATATTACCTACATACAAATTCCCAACGAATCTACAAAAACACCCCTAGGATCAATAAGTGAGTTTAGTACATTTGCAGAAACAAGGCCAACACACAAAAGTCAACTGTATTTCTACAAACAATTAATATACAACTGAAAATAAAAACTTTAAAAATATACTTTTTACAAAAGCTCCAAAATAACTGAAATATTTAGGTATAATCTAACTATGCATGTATAGGATCTACATATAGGATCTGCATGCTTAAACTAAAAATCAGGATAATTGCTGGCAGCTAATAACAATTTTGTAATTCAAGTAATTATCCACTAGCCAGAATATAAATGAGGCTACAATATAAACAATACAGGAGTGGGCAAAAATAGGTTTACAGTTGTTCATAAGAAAAATAATATAATAATTAATAAATAATACAAGAAAAACTGTTCACATATAACTGTGCACCTACTTTTGCCTTACCCCATATAATATAAATGTAAATATATTATAAATATATAATATAAATAAGTAAAAGTTCAATAAAACTTATAGTAACATTCAGAGTAATAAACACATTGCTCTACTTAAACAACTTGTACCAAGTTGAGTATTTCCTCTCAAAGCATATTCTTTTATACTCATAGTTCAAAATAATTAAGAATTTGATTAAAAAGCAAAAATCATTAAAATCCCACTAAAACTAAATGCTATAATTTATGTAAGATCACTTAAACAAACAACAGCTCCTCTGAATTTAGCAAGTTACAATCTTCATAAAATTTGGGCTTTTTGTCTCATGTTCCGCTAAAAAATTTTCTTGGTTTGAATCCAGGCACTCTCAAGCTGTGTATAAAAAAAGCCAGCAAGAGCGAAGATCCAACTTAACGTGATCTTGCAAGCTCTAAGTCAAATCATTCTGAAAAAATATTTTGTTCTGCCTGATTGATTCAGCAAATGTTGAACTGAGATTTTGCTGTGTAAACATACCTTTCATGGTATGCTTGAGAATTTTCTCCTACTTTGCCCATAGAAAGGACCTCTCTCCCTCATTCACTTGCTGATTGCTAGTGTCAGTTGCTGTTATCCACGATATTCCTGCTTTCGGTTCCCACATCTGTAATCTGCGGCCTGAAACTGTCTTCTAGTTGGAACTTCCCTCACACATGAATTCCTCAGCCTACGGCTACTCAGGGATACTTGGCTGGTTCATCAGAGAAGATATTATCTAATCTACCTGCCTGATAGAAATAGGATGATACTAATTCTGATACAGGTTATTAAAAGATTATATTGTAGCTAAAATATTTGTCAATGGATAAATACCTTCATTAACAAAATGTTGCTGTAAAACCATTATTAGTAACCTATTTCAGGGTCACTGAGTGCTTACTGGAACTTAAGGAACTATCTAATCGATATGGGCAAAATATGTACTTTTTTTCCTAGAAGGATTATTATTTTAAGACCACACCAAAGCTCACCAGAATTTTAACTGGTTTCAGCACTTTTCTAGTAATGGCACCTGGGGCTCTTAAACGAATGGTTTCCAAAATACACCATTTAATTAGAGGGAGTTTCTTCAAGTCATCCTCAGACACTTTAATCTTATCTTTACCTGTAAAAAAAAAAAAAAAAAAAAAAATTAAAGAAAATGGATTTAAAGAGACCAGAAAATGATTTTAGGTAAGCTTGTAAAAATAGGTTAGATACTACCTCTGATAGTTAGTGCTCATATTACTATTACTCTTTGCATACCTAGTAATCTATTGACTCTTTTTGGCATTTTCCTCTTACCAAGATAAAGTGTATGGCATAAAAACTACTCTTTGCATACCTAGTAATCTATATATGGCATAAAATGTATGGCATAAAAACTAAGCTAATGTTGATTATTGCAACATGATGGATTGGTATCCAACCTTGGTTCTCACAGTCATACGTCTGTCAAACGACTACGACAGTCCCTGTCAGAAATGTGTTCCAAATTTTCACTCATTTCATTCTTTCTTAGCCAAATTCTCATTCTACCTAAGGGAGCAGCAATAAAAGACTGGCATCAAAAGTATAAAGTAAAAGATCTGAGAAGCTACGTGGCTTACTTCTTCTATTTCTTCCCTGCTGACTTATTTTTGGTTTTGCTTTTGTTTTTTCAGTCATACATGTCAGAAGTTTCCTCACGACAATATTAGGAAAGGGTTGATGAGGCACATGTATTTCATCTGGAATGATGATTTTTCTAAACATAGGTGCTCCCTGTCTTCCTAATGTAACATGCATAGTATAGCTCATACTTAGACACAAGGCAGCTGAAAAAGGATTGGGGTCAATCTGTTTATGACCCAAAGTACGGTAAAGGCCTTGAGTCAGATTAGATAGTTTGGTTAATGGTCATGTTTCAGGTAAAATATTTCTATTTTGAAAATTACTTTAAAACAACTCAGCTTTCCATTTGGTATTATCAGGATTTGCTTAATGAAAGTCAACAACATTGTCAGTTTAATTAAGCCTACTCCCATAGTTGCTTTCCGACTGTACTGGGAACGAGTGGGTCAGAGTGGAATGTAGGGTCTCCGGCCATGTCTCTCCTAGATTCTGGGTGAGGCTTGTTCTAAAAACAAGCCCATTCCGCAGGAGGGCTGGGTGGGTGCCGCCTGGGAAACCCTCTCTGCTAGCACATGTGGAATTCCTGGGAAGTTAGGAGCAAATGTCTTTGGTTAGTGGATGGGAACCAGGGTTTTTAAACTCTGGTCCTACTAATCCCCAATAATGGAGTCTATACACTTCATTAAACTTGATAGATTCCTGAGCACAAATAAGAATCAGGATCTGAGCTAGGCTCTACCAGGATTACAACTGTTAAGGTACTCTTGCAACACAATGAGTCCAGCAGGAGATAAGAGACAAGCTCATAGTTAACTGGTATACCACACAGGCAAGGAAACTGTTCTGTAAGACAAAATATTCTAATAAAAGCAGGGAAGGTTCACATCCAACTGCAGGTAAAGCAAATATTCTATGAATAGCTGTCTCTAAAACTACAAATATAATTAGTTCCTTGTATAAGTAGACCTCAGTAAATATATATTGAATTAACAAATGGTCCAACTTCAACATGGGGAGATGAATAAGTGGATATTCTAGGCAAAAAAAAAGAGGAAGAGCAAGGCCCTGAAAAAGTCTGGATTCTAGTAATAGTGAAGTTTCTGACCTCCTTTAAGGAGAAAAAAAGAGAGAGAGAGAGAGAGAGATTGTTATTAAGAGTACTTACTAGAGTAATTGATTTATACAGTGCAAAACTGTTTTGTATTATACAACACAGAAACAAAAACTTCTTTTGAGTTGAATACAATATTTAAAATCTATTCTGACCTATAAATGTATGAGAGATGTAGACTACCCTTGGAAAGCAAATGTTTTGATAAAATATTTTTAGTTTCTCAAAACCCAATATAATGTGGGAAAAATAAGGTAGTATTCTTGGACTAGACAAAGAAAAAGAAAAGGAAATATGCTAAGTTTTCAAACATCTTTAGGTTAAAGACCTTTCTTATTATAACTCTTAGGAAAGGCTCTGTCCTCATACTGTGCATATTTCAATGCACATCTGTGGTTTGTTCTCCCAGCGTTTTGACTCTAAAATTAGAAAGCTCCATTTGGAAGAATGCCAAGGTAATCATCAAATGGGCTACAGCCTGAAGTCAACCAGGACCAGTGCAGAAGACATACAGGGAAAAACACAATGGGTGATTTGGGGTAGAATTCAGAGACCATTGTTTAACTCAGCATAAATGCAATAAAAGTCAAACCAAATCTTAGGATATTAGAAACCAAATAAAAGATGATTTTTGCATTCAGAAATAGCAAAACCTATTTCTAAAATATTATATACAGTTCTGGGATTCCACAAGCATGATAACATTCATGTTATAACACAGTAACTATAAATTCTATTTATTAAGTACATATAATAGACTGAAATTCTATTATTGCACCCATTTATTCATTCAAAGGAAATTTGCTTCATATCTCTTATGTGCTAGACCATGCATAGGTGCTGTAAGAGACAGGAAGAGAATAATACTAATTTATCGACCATCTGATGTCACAAGGTCTTTGGACCACTTCATTTATTTCCCATTACTACCTTCCAGCTGTCTGGTTAACATGCTGGAGGAGACAAGCTTGAAAGTGTCAGAGAAGTCTTCACACCCATGTCCGTGCACAGTGAAAACCTTTACCCTTGCTTACTGTGTCCCATCACTTCCCCTAAGAGGAGAAAGGAATGAGAAAGATCCAGTCATCGCCTTAAAGGAGCTTGGACAAGGGACACAAAACTGTATCTAGATATAAATAACCATAATGTAGGTTTCACAAGAGAGGATTCCAGTGTCAGTGGTGTTCATCCATCCCCTCTTGCCTAGGGCTGGAATTTCAGCTAAGCTTGGAAGGATGAGTGAGATTCACCCAGGCAGAAAGAAAAGTCACTTGCATACCAAAATTAATCATAAAAATGATTTCTGGGACTTAAAAAGACATAGAAATCAAGTAAAATCTCTAAAGTAAGTCCTTTGAGAGACAGCGCCTCTGGTGCCTTAATATTTAAGTTCCCTCTACACACACATACACAATAAATACATAAAATATAAAATAGAAATTCTCTTTCTATAGTCCTGGGGTAACATCGCATAAAGATTTAACTAATAACTTGGGGAAAATAATCCATGTTTTGACAGAAAAGAAAAAGAATGGAAGGTATCTGTTGAGTCACACAGACCTTTTGCGATTTATTCTAAGGAGACTGAATCAGGTGAGGTAGCAAAGGGAGGAGTGAAAACAGAGGGGCACTGTGCTTCCCCACAAAAGGAAGACAGATGGATGGTATACACTACCAAGGGACACATGGAAAGATGAAGAAAAGCAAATGACAAGTTCCACTGAAATTTAAATACTGCATCCCTACACATCCCTCCACCTCTTTACTTTTAAAAGTATGGATTCTCAGTTTGTTGTTCTAGCTGTGAAGTTAAGCTTTCCTTCACAGAGGTTGCCTTTTCATATTCATAGAACGACTTGTTGAAAATATTTAGAGTTAAGGTGTGTGCAAAGGTCAGAGCACACATGAAGGAAAATGAACCTGGGATAAAAATGCATGACATAAAGGTTGAAAAATAAACTGATGTAATAACTTTAAGCAATGATTCCTACCAAAATTTGGTCAAGAAATTTGCTTCCAAAATTTTTTAATAATTAATTTTAAAAGTAAAAATCAAATAATAAATGTTAGTATTTACTTTAGACTGTTACTAAGTTAGTTATTGAAAAATACAACATTTCTATGACTTCTACTCAAAAATAGTGAAGCAATAACATCAATTGCTGAAAGAGATTGAGGGCAAGAAACCAGTTTCCTAGCATATTTTCTCAATCACAGACCTCAAGATAAACTTCTGAAAAAAACAGTTTTTAGAGAACAGAAACAAAGCTAAAGAGAAACAGTAAATATAGAATTTACAGTATTCCACAGGGGAATAAAAGCAGTATCTCACATTCTTCCCTTAATTTCAGGAATTTAAAAAACTTCAATATCTTAAGTAACATTTAAAAATTCTATTTTAAAAAATTATACTTCTATTTTATCCCAAGACTATATTCTTATATTTACAACGTTGCTCTTTCCTTTTCAGAAGAAACCTATATCCACTGGAAAAGGTAAGCACATCTCCAATAGAAAGAACAACAGTGGATAAAAAGTCTGAAGAAGATAATATCATTTACAACTGGCTTTATATCTCAAATGACCCTGTAACAGTCATTTATCAATAGTGAGGATATGCTGGTTACAGATTTCTGGAAATTTTCAGTGAGATAAAAATTTGTTTGTGGACTTGTCTCCCAAATGCAGAGAGCAAAAAACCCCTTTCTACAGTTATTCTTTTAAATTTGAAAAACAATACTGTGAAACTGATCTTTGATTATTGAAAGGAAAAAATAATTTTAAACTTTGTATAAGACCCCCGCCCCCATGACCTTTCAATTCTCCAGACTTGTATTTCCCTCTATTCCTGCTAACAGGTAGTGAGCGAAAAGCCTAGGACAGGGTAGACCAGAACTGAGGAAAAGGAGTAGCAGAAATAGGGAGACAAAGAGAGAAATGATTTTTCAAAAGAGTAAATGAGATCGCAGAAGTAAGTTGGTTAAGCAAGACGCAAATTTGAGGGACTTAATTATTCCACACAATATGACCCAGGTTTTTCCTAATGTTGCAAATTATGTCTTTGGGCTGGAATTTCCCCTTTGATGTCAGTAGCAGAAAGATTGAAAAGATTCTAAGAAGCGTCACAGGAAAGGGAGAGGCCCTTTAGAGAACAGACTGATGGTTACCGTGGGGTGGGGGGTGGGGATGGTGGCAAGGGAATGGATGGAAAAGATGAAGGAATTAAGAAGTACAAATTGGTAGTTACAAAATAGTCACGGGGATATAAAGTATAGCATAGGGAATACAGTCAATAATACTGCAGTAACTATGCATGGGGCCAGGTGGGCACTGGAAATATTTGGGGGATCACTTTGTAAAGTATATGATTGTCCAGCCACTATCTTGTATGCCTGAAACTA